ATGTACAAATGTGCTTTACACAATTGATGTATGTATGGATTGTGATAAGAGTTGTATGAGCCCCTAATAAAATGATTTAAAAAAAACTTCATTGGGAGGAAATGAGGAAAGGATTGGAGAAGTTATAAAGGTGAGTTAAATGTTTACCTCTCTGAAATAACTCAGCCAAGAATCTAAATTTTTTAAAAATCATGATATAGCAGCATAAGCATATTATTTAGAGACAGGGGGGCAATCACTGGGTGATCTAAAAACAGACATACTTAAAAACGGTTGCCTTTGAGTGGCGAAATTGAGGCATGGAGTGGCTGGGTAGAGCAGGAGGTTGCTATCAGTCACAAGTTGTCTCTCCTACCTCACTTTAGCATTCTCTGCATGTGTGCATTAACAACCGATCACATGCAGAAAGCACAACCTTGCTCGCTGTGAGTAGGACTTGAGATACTTACTGATAAAGATAAAAGACAACAGCCTTCATTATGGATTACACCTCAACAAAGAAAGGGAAGGAAAATCTGCACAACACACCATCATTACTTGAGGAGAAAAGATCGAGGTATATTTTCAGGGTTTTTATTTTACTTGGATCCATAATTAACATCCATGGATAAATAATTAACATCCAGGGACACATAATTAACATCCAGGGACAAATCTACTGCAAAAAAAAAAAAAAGAAACCAAAACTCTTTAAAGGGTTAAAAAGGCAAAGATGTCGTTTTGCACATGACCCAGACCATAGGATTTTCGGTTGCTGCTTGTGAACGTGAAAGCTCCATAATGAATAAGGAAGAATGTCATGCTTCAACTGTGTTGTTGACAGAGTGCATCATGGCGGTCAGAAGAACTCCCAAATTTGTGTTAGGAGAAGGACCTCCAGAAGGTTCCTTAGAAGTGAAAATTGCAAGACTTTTCCTCACATGCTTTGGACATGTTAGAGGAGAGACTAGTCCCTGAAGCAGGAAGGCAAGGTTGGTCAAGTTGGTAAAGGGTGATCTGAGGGAAGGAGATGGGCCAGTCAGGGTGCAGTGTAGCAACGATGAAA